TTTTGCATCTTTGTGTGGTTTGCATATTGGAGTAACTGTAGCCTCATAAAAAGAGTTTGGTAAAGTTCCTTCTGTTTCTACTGTGTGAAACAATTTGAAGAGTATTGGTATATACTCTTCTTTGAAAATCTGTTAGAATTCTGTGCTAAAACTATCTGGTCCTGGGCCCTTTTTGGTTGGGAGACTTTTAATGACTGTTTCTGTTTCCTTAGGGGTTATTGGCCTATTTAAACAGTTTACCTGATCTCGATTTAACTTTGGTATGTGGTACCTATCCAGAAACTTGTCCATTTCTATCAGATTTTCAAATTGTGTGGAATACAGGTTTTTGAAGTATGACCTGATGATTCTCTGGATTTCCTTGTTGTCTGTTATTATGTCTCCCTTTTCTTTTCTGATTTTGTTAATTTGGATTCTCTCTCTCTCTCTCTCTCTCTCTCTCTCTCTCTCTCTCTCTCTCTCTCTCTCTGCCGTTTGGTTAATTTAGATAAGGGCTTGTCTATCTTGTTGATTTTCTCAAAGAACCAATTCTTTGTTTCATTGATTCTTGGTAGTGTTCTCTTTGTTTCTGTTTTATTGATTTCATCCCTCGATTTAATTATTTCCTGGAATCTATTTCTCCTGGGTGAGTTTGCTTTTTTTTGTTCTAGAGCTTTCAAGTGTGCTGTTAAGTTGCTAGTATGAGATTTCTCCATCTTCTTTATGTGGGCATTTAGTGCTATGAATTTTCCTCTTAGCACTGCTTTCACAGTGTCCCATAAGTTTGGGTATGTTGTACATTCGTTTTCATTGAATTCTAGGAAATCCTTAATTTCTTCTTTATTTCTTCCTTGACCCATTGGTGATTCAGTTGGGCACTATTCAGCATGTGATTGATTTTAGAGAAGGTTCCAAGGGGTACTGAGAAGAAGGTATATTCTTTTGTGTTAGAATGGAATATTATGTAGATATCTATTAATACCATTTGAGTCATAATGAATGTTAATTCTGTTATTTATCTGTTAAGTTTCTGTCTGGCAGATCGGTCCATTGGTGAGAGTGGGGTGTTGAAGTCTCCCAGTACTAGTGTATGGGATTTGATGTTTGATTTAAGCTTTAGTAATGTTCCTTTTACAAATGTGGATGCCCTTCTTTGGAGGCATAAATGTTTAGAATTGAGACTTCATCTTGATGAATTTTTGCTGTGATAAATATGTAATATCTTTCCCAATCTCTTTTGAATGATTTAGTTTGAAGTTTATTTTATTAGATATTAGTAATGCTACACCAGCTTGCTTCTTAAATCCATTTGATTGGAAAGTCTTTTCTCAGCCTTTTACTCTGAGGTAGTGTCTGTCTTTGAAGTTGAGGTATGTTTCTTTATGCAGCAGAAGGATGAATCTTGTTTTTATATATATTCATTCTGTGAGCCTGTGTCTTTTTATAGGTAAAATGAGACCATTGATATTAATGGATATTAATGACCAGTGATTGTTAATTCCTGTTATTTTTTGATGGTAGTGTTGTGTGTTTCCCTTCTTTGGTATTTGTTGGTGTGGGATTATCTATTGCCTGTGTTTTCATTGATGTATCTAGTTTTTTTTGGTTCAATTTCTCCTTCTAGTGCTTTCTGTAGGGCTGCATTTGTGAATAGGTATTGTTTAAATCTAGTTTCATCATGGAATATTTTGTTTACTCTATTGAGATTAAGAGTTTTGCTGGGTATAATAGTCTGTGTTGGCATCCATGGTCTCTTAGTGTCTACATAACATCTGTCCAGGACCTTCTGGCTTTTAGAGTCTCCACTGAGAAGTCAGGTGTTATTCTTATGGGTCTGCCTTTTTATGTTACTTGGCCGTTTTCCTTTGCAGCTCTTAATATTTTTTCTTTATTCTGTATATTTAGTGGCTTGATTATTGTGTGCCAAAGCAACTTTTTTTTGATCCAGTCTATTTTGTGTTCTATAATCTTCTTGTATCTTTATAGGCATTTCCTTCTTTAGGTTGGGAAAGTTTTCTTCTATGATTATTTTGAATATATTTTCTTTGCCTTTGAGTTGGTATTCTTCTCCTTCTTCTATCCCCATTATTCTTAGGTTTGGTCTTTTCATGGCGTTCCAAATTTCCTGGATGTTTTATGTAATGACTTTGTTGACTTTAGTGTTTTCTTTGACTGGTGAATCTATTTCCTCTTTTGTATCTTCAACACCAGAGATTCTCTCTTCCATCTCTTGCATTCTGTTGGTTATGCTTGCATATATGGTTCCTCTCATGAGAGAGATATGTGATTCATGGGTATACCAAACAATTTTGAGGGGTCAGACTGGCTAACTTCAAATGTGAAGGTTTATCTACAGTTCTTGACTTACTAGTTCAGAATCCCTGAGCAAGTCATTCAATTATGCTGAACCTCACTGTATTCATGAGGATACAGACCATGTCTATCTCAATAAGACTGGGTGAAGGTCACAGGAGCAAGACATGCAAAGTGCTTGGAACGGTGCCTGCTATATTTCAGTTATCGTTTTGTATTTAGCCAACTGAAGACCTCCTACATACTAGGCAATCCAACAGCACATTGAAAATAAACAATTCAAATGATCAGAGTATCCATTCCACACAACAGAGAGAAGAATGGATGGCTAATGCATTTACTGACAAGAAGGCAGAACAGCCACAGGGGTTTTACCTGGAGTGAGAAAGCTGTTCCTAGAACCATGGCCCTGTGACACTTTATAAGGGGAGTTTTCCAGGGAATAGTTCTGAAGCCAGAACTTTCTAACTATGCTCACAGTGCAAGTCACAAGCACTGTGGAAACTCTGTGATGTGCTGCTTTAAAAAAAAAAAAAGATACAAAAGTATGCTTTTTTTAAGGAAAAGGGGGCCTAATCAAAATTTTACAAATATCTGTTCAGAGAATTCCATAGGTAACGTCTTTTACTTCTCTGTAATATCCATGATTTGTGAATATAACCATAATATATCTAAAGTATCAAGAAGGTTTTATCAACAAAAGTAACTATAAATATCACATTTGATTATAGACATTAGATATAAATTTTGCAGCTAAAATGCTAAGACTTTTATTTTAAACATCCATTTTATGTGATTATAGATTTCTCTCTGCCTAAGTCCTGAATACAAGCTTCAAATACTTTCAGCTGATAGCCCATGATATTCATCTTTTTATATGTCCACATGTCCTCCAAGGTGAAAAACACTTCTTCATTTAAGAAACTTTTCTTCATATAAGTTGTTTCTGAGAATGCTATGATAATGCACTTGGACTGAGCTTTTAAAATGGACTGCTCTAAGTTAAGGGAGTGGCAGGGCCTTCACAGAAATTAAGGTATATAAAGGAAACAAATTAAATTTAAATTGCTATCATTATATCCAAATATATTCTTTAAGTTTAGTTCTTAAACTCTGCCTTAGCTATAATGTAATTATAATCTAACATTGATAAAAAAAATACTATGAAAACTCTGTGATGTGCTGATATTAAAAAGAAAAGTGAAAAATTATATTTTCTTTGAGGAAAATGGGGGTAATCAAAACTTTACAAATTATCTATTCAGAGACTGAGTTCATAAGTAATGTTTTCTTTTTTACTTTTCTTTGTGATATCCATGATTACGAACATAACTGCAATAAATCTGAAATAAAGGTAACGTAAAGTCAGTTTAGGAAGGTAAGTTGGCCTGAGAGATAGTTCAGTGGATGAAAGCTCTTACTTCCAGGCCTGAGGACCTGAGTTTGGTCCCTATGGAAGAGGGGAACTGACTCCAATGAGATATTCTCTGGCCTTCACCTGTGCCTGTGCAAGAACACACGAGTGCTTGCACACATGCACACTTGTGCACACACACAGACACGCACACACACCACTAAATTTTTTATGTATTTAAGTTCTTGCTTTTGAATTTGACAGAATGACAGTATTTCTGTTTCCACCCTCTTGAGTGTCTATGGAGGTGACGCCTGTTCAAGGAAGTGTGGCGTGTACGTGTCAAACTCCCTGAGCACCTTTATTGTCGTGTCTCCCACCACGACCCTCGGCTTCACTGTAGGCCCAGAAACAGTGGAGCGACTTCACGTGGACTGAACTCACTCCCATGTGCTGGGGAAGGAGTGAACCCTGCCTCCTTTCAGTTGTTTCCATGGGCTGCTGTGTCCCAGCAATCAAAGCGGAGCACTGTGGTCACCTGTTCCCACCATGATTCTGCTGTGCACGTTGGTTTTCTGTTTTCTATGATGTGGATGAAGGCGAGGCACAAAAACATGGTGACTGGTGAAGACAGAGGATAACTCCAGGACTTACTCTTTCATCCAAATAATAAGTCTAAATACGCATATGCACACACACACACACACACACACACACACACACACACACACACAATGTTTCAGTGAAGGTTCTACCACTCCCGTAACTTAGAGCAGTACATTTTGAAAATTCAGCCAAATGAATTTTCAGAAACTACTTATGTGAAGAAAAGTTAAGTAATAAAATATTTTTCATCTTGGAGAAAATGAGGAAATTTCAAAAGACAAACATGTATATCATGGTCAATCAGCTGAATAAGTGTGAGGCTTATATTCAGGACTCAGACTGAAAGAAATCTGTAAGATTGTGTGTGTGTGTGTGTGTGTGTGTGTGTGTGTGTGTGTGTGTGTGTGTGTGTAATTTATGGCTTAAATATCTGTATGTACTTTTGAAAATGAATACCAAAATCATTTCTTACATCCAGGTAAATTCAGACCATCAGTGTTCCTTAACCTTTAATTTTATGTCCTGATTTTATCACATTAATTGCCAAGGATATTTATCCAAACTACCTTTCTACTAATAAGTTTAACATTTTGTAGTACTTTACAGCTACTAAAATCTCTGTATAAATGCAAAAATTTTGCTTCTTATAATAATTCAAGAGGCCATAGAAAAGTTTTCAACATATCATTTGAACATATCATTTCTAGTTTTTAGTATACATAGTGTCAGGAAACTTTAATCAAGAAAGTCTTCAAAATGATTTTTTATTTCAAAACTGAGGAAAACTTTAATTCCATAGTTAATTATTATACTGAAAAGAAAAGGCTGTTTCCTTTCTTGAAAGCAAATATAAAGTAACAAGAAAAACTGCTCAGTCAGTCAGCTGTTGACTTGGTTTTCTTCTTGGTTCCATTATTGGCAATTATCTGATGATACCTATCCATAAAAAGAATATACATAAATTTCAAAATTCATAAACAATTCAATTCATATTATCAAATTCAAACTTTCTCCAGCATTTCTTCCTTTCTGTTTCTCTCTCAGGTCACCTCTGACAATAGGCACATTTCATTTCATGTGATCTCACTCTCTGCCACCCCCATCCCAAATACGATTTTTAGAAGTGACCCATAAAGTAGAAATAAAAAAGGTGGCTGTGAATCATTGCTGGTGTGTTCACTGGATAGGACTGCCATATCAAAGTGTTAGCCATGCAGCTTAAACAGGAGGTTTGGTTTGGTTGGGTTTTCCTCCGTTGTAGGCTAGAATGTCAAGATTAGAGTTTTGGTTCCTACTGAAGGCCGAGAGAAGATCTGTCCACTGCCTCCCCTTGCCTTGGGGATGCCTGTCCTCTTGCTGAGTCTCCACATCAGTTGTCCCTCTGTGTAACACCTTCCTTTGTTTCTCTCCTGGTGTCTTAGTCTCCTTTTTGTCTAAAGACATCAAATTGGATTAGGGCCTGTTCTACTGGCTTTATTTCACCATAATTACCATTTAAAGACCCTATCTCCAAATATTTATACATTCATAAAAGGAAAAGAAAATGGAATTAAGGCTTTAATATATAACTTTGAAGAAAAAAAATCCAGCTCATAGCCCATCCTTAGGTTTAACAGAAAATTTATGAAATGAAGGCACTAGTCAGGGACTCAACTAAATCAATACTTTCATCATGCCTAAAAGGAATCTATTCTAATCATTCACGAGTAAGCCTATGTTTCCAACATTTCAGTGACTTGAGATGAGTTAAAGTTAACTGTAAAATTAATATCTAAATACTATTCCATCATTTGAGATAGTTCCACTCTGTTTTGTTTTGTTTGGGATTTTGTGTTGCTTGTCTATGTTCCCCAGATCCAACACAGCACCTTGCAAGGCAAACTGCCAATGAACTGTAGCTGAATTTCCAGTTTCACTTATGTTTTAAAAAAGTAATGTCTCTGTGTCATAGAACCAGAGAGTAATGAAACACAGTGTCTACCTGTTAAAGTATACTGAACAGACAACATCTACTCAAGCAATAAAAATCACAATAAGTCTTTAATCCCAGCACTTGGGAGGCAGAGGCAAGAGAATCTCAGTGAGTTCAAGGCCCAGCCTGGTCTGCAAAGTGAGTTCCAGGACTGCCAGGACTGTTACACAGAGAAACCCTGTCTCAAACCCCCCCAAAAAAATAGCCACAATAAAAAATGATATCTATTATGTATATTTGAATTTGATTGACAAGTATTTGATTGAGAAGTTTTACATCCATATTCATCAGGGAAGCTGGCCTACAATGGTTTGTTTGTTTGTTTTTTGTTTGTTGGTTTGTTTGTTTGAGACAGGGTCTCACCATGTAACATTGTCTGACCCAGAACTCACTATGTGACCAGGCTAGCCTCAAACTCATAGAGATCTACCTGCCTCTGCCTCCCAAGGCATGAACCTCCACACCCTGCCTAGCCTATAGAGTTTTCATCTGTCATATTCTTGTCTGGTTTGGGTATAGTGTAGTATTGGTTTGTAAATGGAATCTACCAGGATTCCTTCCCTTTCTGATGTATGGGATAATTTGAGAAGCATTAGTGTTAATGCTTCTTTATAAGAAGTCTAGTAGAACTGGGCTGCAGATTCATCTGGGCTTAGGATTTTGTAGATGGGATAATTTATTATCATTGAATGTTATTGATATGCTTAGGTTGGTTATAGTTTTTTGGTTTAAGTTTAGTATGCCGTGTTTTCAGAAGTGTATTCATTTCTTCTATATTTTTCAATTCATAAAACACAAAATTTCTATGTATGCCTTAATAATCCAGTGAATTCCATTGGTAGTTTATAATCTCTCCCTCTCTATCTCTTAATTTATTAATGTAGATACTCTCTAGCTCAATTTTTTGTCTTGTTTACCTAAGAACTTGTCAATCTTCTTTATTCTTTCAATGATCTTTATGTTTCTTTAATTTTTATATTGATCTTTTTGTTTCCATTACATTAATTTCTGCCCTGGTCTTTATTATTTCTTTACACATGATGAAATTTACTTCATTATAAAGTGATTATGTCATCTGCTAGGAAATGGGTGTGATTGAAGATCATTATATTAAAATAAATCAGTCCAAAAAGATAAATAATGTGTATTTTCATTCATCAGTGGGTTCAAGAATTCTTTATTGATACATAAAATGGTGTGTGTGTGTGTGTGTGTGTGTGTGTCTGTGTGTGTGTGTCTGTGTGTGTGTCTGTGTGCATGTGTATGTGTGTACGTATGAGAATGGAAGAGAAGCAGGAGTCAGGAGAGAGAGAACTAAAGGGAGGGAATAATAAGGGGGTAAATTTGGCCAATGTATATGATATACATGATGGAAGTGGCTATATGAAACTCAATACTATATAAATTCAATATGTGCCAATAAATACTCAAAACAAAATAAACATTAACCAGATACGGTATCAATTGTTTATGCCCTAAATCACAAAGAATCAATGAGAGGTTTTGAAATTCTTTTAATTAAAATAAAAAATGAACATCTGATTGTTCTCCACAGTGATCCAAAAAAATGTTGCTAAACTATAAATAAAGGGTTGGGTAGGTATCTCAGTCAGTAAAGTGCTGGTCTCACGAGCACAAGGACCGGAGTTCAGTCCCTAGAATCTATGTGAGAAGGGAGCATGGTGAGCTGCTGGGAGACAGAAATGATTGGACCCTGTGGCCTCCTTGGCCAGCCAGTCTAGCCTAACGGTTAACATCAGACCCTGTGTGAAGAAGGTAGATACCATTCCTAAGAAAGGCACCCAAAGTTTGCTTCTGGCCTCCTCAAATATACACACTCACCAGCACATACACACACACACACACACACACACACACACACACACACACACACACACACACTAAGCTAGGTGAAGGAAGACAGAGCAAACTTACAGCCTAGCACTGGAGATGATGTGCAAAGGGAATCAGAAACCCAAAACCAGCTGGGACTACACAGAGAGTTCAAGATCAGCCTAAGCTACATAGAGAGACTAACAGAAATACATGGAGAGAAGATAAAGAAGAAAAGAGAGAGAGAAGAAGAAGAAAGAACATAGAAAAATGAGAGGAGAGGGAGGAAAAGGAGATCAAGAAGAGAGAGAAAAAACATGGATAATTTAAAATTTTCTCTAAAGTAAATAGCGTGTGTTAGTTATAGCTAACAAAGTATTTCATTTCATTCGCTATAAATTAAATCTCAATGTATTATATCATATTTCCTCATTGACTATTAGTGATTAGGATGCACATTTACAACTGGGAATCTTTTGTCTTGTAAGTGTAATGAGAATATACTACAGAATTCTGAGACATCAGACTGAAGTTACGTAGTATAGTGGTAATGATAAATATTCATAACATACATTCTTTACATTATTAAAGATAGGCATAATGAAGGGAAATCAGTACATTCATCATATGTTCTTCAGCTGTACTAGTCAAATATTCCATTAATGGTTAACAGAAATCCTGTCCTGGCACATTTCCCACTCCCATGCCACTGTAGTAGCTACTGTCACTCATCCAACACATAAATCTTGCATTGATTCTATAAGTGGAGGAAATGAAGGATCTCTAGGGATATGATTCCAGGGTTTATACATGATTTCCCCTTTTTATTAGCCTATAAAAGCTGTGTTTGGGGGGCTCATTCTGTGTACCTCAAGATCCTATTTCAGTTATTAAAAGGCATAAAGTAGCACTTACATAGTAAAGCCATTAAAAGAAGCATATTCCTCAGCCGTAAATCCATAAATATCTCTGCAGGATAAGTTCATATCTTGTTGAAGAAGAAGTTTTACAGAATTTGTTGGTTCAACAGTAAGAGCAATCATAATAGCTGTTCTGGAGCAAGACATACACAAATTTAGTCTTCTCAACTTACCATTCACACCATTCACACTTAAGTCCTCTATTCTTAGAGCATCAAGAAGAGAATGGGAAAGGATGGGTTTATCTGCTCAAAATTGCACAGTATTCACAGATCACAGGAAGGCACCCAAACACAGTCACCAGGAAGCTCTAATACATTGATTTTTCAATCTCTGCCTCCTAGAAGCCTCCTGCTTTCAAGATGTCTCAAAAATTCCACAAGAGGAACTATTGGACATCCTAGGTCCCCTTTCCAGTTAACTACAGCATCAGTTCCTGTGTAAGATTTCAAAGTTACTATATATGACTAACAACTTAAAGCTACCTATGTAATTAAGCAGTTCAATTTTATACATTGAAAAAAAAGAACATATGAGAAGTATAGGTAATTTGCCCCAAATCATACCATACAAATAAAATATCACACAAAGATATACTAATAAATATGTGTATTTACATGGCCTTATTAAGCAATTGCAATTATATGGCATCTTATATAGCTTTACTTATAATTATACCTGTGGTTGTTATCTGATGCATTAACATCTGCTCCTTTCTTCACAAGGAATTTTACCATATTTACATTATTTTCAGCAACGGCAAGTAAAAGTGGAGTGTAGCCATCCTGTAAAAATTATCTCAAATTACTTGAACAATGTTTACTTCGGTGCCTTTTAGGTTTAAGTACAATTTTTTAAGTATGCTCTTAGGAAACTCCTGAATATATACTCTAATTTTTGAAACATTTTAATATCTAACAAAACTCTGACTTTGAATTAACAATGGGCTGTTACATTTTTAAAAGTCAAATTGTATTCTAGGATTAATTCAAATCATAGTTATAAAGTGATCAAGTCATGAGTTTTATTTAGTAACTTCCAAGACTATCACATACACAAAATATCAGCAAAATGAAGTGACAAGATATTTCATAAAAAATATTTTTTAGTTATTTTTTCAATTTCAAAAGAAGAATTAGGCTACTTTTAGTATAATAACTAATCTAATTCAGCTCTATTACTGAGTAATAAAATCATTATGAGGTTTATTATTTTATATTAATACTAATTTGTAAAAATTCAAACGTTCATATCTGATATTGTAACACAAATCATAAAAGGTCTTATTAATAAAAAACCTATAGCCAGATATTGTGATGAAAACTGAAAGATCGGAGAAGCAGAACAAGCCACATCCAACCTCACCTCGTCAACTCCTCAGCCAATCCTGTTTCCTCAGGCTAAAAGCATCTGAGTCCTCACCCTTGAGGTTCTCAGTTGAACTGCTTAAATAAAACCTCTAGTTCCTGGTCCTCATGCCTTATATACCTTTCTGCTTCCTGCCATCACTTAAAAGTGATGTGATTAAAGTGTGTGTCCTTCTCAAGCAAAGACATGAGATTTCCAGTGTTGGGATTAAAGGCATGTGCCACCACACCTGGCTCTGTTCCCAGTGTGGCCTTGGACTCACAGAGATCCAGACAGATCTCTGCCTCCCGAGTGATAGGATTAAAGGTGTGTGCCACTACTGCCTGTCCTGTATGTCTAATTTAGCAGTTGGCTCTGTCCTCTGATCCCCAGATAAGTTTTATTAGTTAGAGCATAAATAAAATATCACCACATGATGTGGCCATTTCAGGAATTATCACTGATGGATATGTTTCTCTTCATGTCAGGATAAAGGTCTACAGTGAAATGCAAAACTTAAAAGAAAAATTTTATCACATTTTAATAACCTATTCATCTCTCAATTCAATTTGATAAATACATTCTCTATATTAAAATACAAATTTCTGTTACATGAAGTATCTGAAATGAATACCCTGTTTAGTAGCTCTCTTTTTTTAATGAAAACAATGCAGCCTTTTTTATTAGAATTTGTAATAGACCTACTAGCATTATTGCTCGAATTACCACTACCACTATCATATGACCCAGAATTGAAGTATAAGAGTAAATGTACGTCTCAGAGGATCACAGATGGCAATGTTGCAATTGAAAGCCATTGCCAATAGATTACCAGACTCCATGCATTGCAAGGTGTGGATGGAGAACAGCTGGGCTAGGCAGGCATCAAAGGCAATGGAATAAGCCCCAAACTGAAAGATGGCCAACATTTTGGGAGCAATTGCTGCGCAGTCTTCTGTCTGTAGCTGGCTTTGGAAGATGTACATGGGCTGGTACAAGCTATGCTCAGCTGGGATGATGATCAATAAAATGATATTTCCCAAAAGAGCCACTAGACACATCGCAAAGAATAAAAATCCAATCCAAAACTTCACGTGCTCTGGTCTAGGAATTCTAATCAAAATTACAACTTTAGGGTTCAGATACAACATGTTACTGTACTTCACTGAGCTCAGCATTCTGTCTTCTCACCACTGTATGGTGATATTTTATTTGTACTGAAATGTGATTTATTTGTATGTTAATAAATAAAGTTGCTTGGGGGTCAGAGGTAATAGCAAGCCATCGCAGAAGCTGGGCGGTGGTGGTGCACGCCTTTAATCCCAGCACTTGTTAGGCAGAACTAGGTATATCTCTGTGTGTTCAAGGATACAGCCAGCATTGGAGACACACGCCTTTAATCTCAATACCAACCATAGAAGACCTGGAGGTCTGTACAGACAGGTAGTGACGAGGAGGTCATGTGGTTGGGTTTACAACCAATGAGAAGGCAGAACAGAAACTCTATTAAAAAAAAAAAGACAAACACAGGAAGTAGGTCTCTTTTGGAGAGGTAGTGTAACAGCGACAGTGAAGGGTAAGGTTTTTAGCTCTTAGCTCTGACCTCTTGGCTTTCATCTCTGTATTGGTTCTGTGTTTCTTATTTAATAAGACAGTTACATCTACACCACTGACCATGATAACTGAAACTTCTGCTTTCAGAAGCTGGAGGCAGTAACTCAGACCTGCTGTGGAAGGCTGGAGCTCTCTTTTCGTGGGTGGTTGGGGACCAAGGTGTTCCTTCTTCCCAATTTATATTCATCCTTTGGGATAGCTCTAAGGCATTAATACGTATTTTCTTTAATAGAAACTTACCTTATTTTTAGCTTCAAGATTGGCTTTGTATTCAAGCAATTCATTAGCTAGTGAGATATTTTGACCACAAACAGCATAATGGAGGGCAGTATTACTATTAAAATCCACCAGATTTGGGTCTGCACCATGCTGTAGAAGAACCATAGCACAATTCTCCTGTTGACACTGTACTGCCTATCAATGGAACAACAATGAATGAGTGCCCGATTTCCTATTTCAGATATGTAAACTCATGTTACAAGTCAAAGTATGGAAACCAATAAAATTGAACGAGGATAAGTACTCAAACACATTCCACTTAAAAATAAGAAAAATGGAACACACCTTGATCAATGGGGTTCTGTTTTCACTATCCTGGACATTAATTTTGCATTGGTTCTCAATTAAGAGATACACAATATCTATATATCCATTAGCACAGGCCAAATGCAAAGGTGTTCTATATTGACACAATAAAACATGAAGTTAGAGATACATTTCAATTAGTTATAATACTCCTCAATAAGCAAGATTAAATATTAAGATATTTGTTTTATGTTTTGTTTACATTTACTGAAAAATTATGCTAATTATAATTGATTTTGATGAATTTAAAAGGCTAAGCAAATGTCTTGAGAATCAAATACCACTTTAAGGAAAATTTGGCTCTATTAAATTCAAAGTTTTTTCTCAATTTATCTTCAGAAGAGATGATAAAATGAGATAACACTAACACAATTCAGATTGCTCTCCAAAACCTAAGAAACATCCATAAATAACAGAAATGGCAATGTCAAAGGCATCTCCCCCTGTTGGGTGTGTCTCTCTGGCCCTCCAGTAGAACTAATACTTCCATCTAAAAACAAACATATGGTTAAGAACCTAAGGACTCACTAAATTGTACATTTTACATTATTATACTAATTTTTACTTCTTGAAGATCTACAGGTTCATGAATTATAACACAATGCTAATTAGTTCCATTTTGTACTCGCATTGGGCTTTGGTGTAGACTATCCTTTAATGAACTTCTATGGTTATACAGTGATATCATTATTTCTTTGTTTTACATAATTTTAGGATATTCCATATGGTGATAGCGCATATTCCAAACAGGGGATCTCAGATGTCATGTCCCTCTTTCATATCTACCTAAACAGACCAGTATTAACCTACAGAAGCAGGAAAAGAAATTACCCTCAAAGGAAGACTTGAAAACAGGGTAACATTCAAAAGAGATAAACTAATAAAAACTCTCACATGATGATGTAATTTACCACCTATGGGAGTAAATTTTAAAAAGTAAAACCAGTTTTGAACAATCTGATAATTCCAGTTTAGATTACTTAATGACATTACAAAAGGAACAATAACAATGTAACTACAATTCAAAGTCAGAACTCTAATCAATTACACTATACAGATGAAGACAGAGAGCAGTCAGGAAAAGGAGTGTCAGTTTAGACAGTAGAATTGGATTTTTTGTGTAAATGGAGGCTTTTTTCTGTCCTGCCCTGTCTCGCAGCTACTTGTAAATAATCACTCAGAGGTTTGATATTATAAATCATTTGGCCTATTGCTCAGGCTTATTACTAACTAGCTCTTACAACTTAAATTAATCCACTTCTTTCATCTATATATATAATTTTGCCATGTGGCTGTGGTGTTACCAGTCTGGTGGCATCTTGCTCCTTTGGTGGCTAGATGGCATCTGCCCCTGACTCAGCCTTTTGCTTCCTTTATCTCTGCTTGGATTTTCCACCTGGCTCTTATCCTGCCTTGCCATAAGCCAAAGCAGCTTTATTTATTAACCAATGGGAGCAACACATATTCACAGTGTATAGAAACATATCCCCCATCATTTCCCTTCCCTGTCTAATCAAAAAGGAACATTTTAACTTTAACATAGTAAGATTACATATATCAAGCAAGAATTATAGTTATAATATTTAATCTATTTCTATTTGGCAAAATTAAAGAAAAAACTCTAACATCTATCCTATCTTTGTGAGTCTAAAGTTTCACATCTAATTTATTTTTTATCATAATTAAGGAAAACTGTAATTATAACTATCTAATCTTCAATTCCATCAAAGACCTCAGAAGGATATAATATTATCTCAGTAAACAAGAAGTGCATTATAAGCAACTTCCAAATTTCTAAAAATGACAGATACATCTGGCTGCCTGGATAGTCACCCAAATTTTCTCTGTGACTTTGGAGCATCTGTCTTCAGCCTATAGGCCTAGAGTATCTGGCAGACATTTTAGTGAAGCAGGATATCTGAAGGACTGTTCCTCCCTGTATTGGCAAGGTTCATCAGTTGCTTTCCTCTTCTGTGTCCTGCAGAATGTCTGGCAAACTCTTCCATGAAGCAGGAACCCTGAAGGACCATCCCACTTTTTTTTGGCAAAGTTCAGCATTAATTTTCCTGTGGGTCCTGCATGTCCAGTTAATACAGCATAAAGTCAAGCAGTCAAGGCAAAAACAGTTTCTTACCCAAATGGCTAACTTTGCCCCAATGAAAACAAACTCCTTTGGAGTTTCCTTGATGCCCATCATCTCTGAAGTAAATTGATGCTGCCAGGAGCATCTCACTGTCATGAAAACTTTAGGTTAACAAAATATTTTAAATGCTATATTCTATAGGTCTTTGAAGTATTTGAAGACTATCTATCTAAAATATATCTCTATATCATCTGGAAAGCACATCTAACATATCTACAAATTTGATGATCATAAATAACTACTAACCTATGTTTCTTGATTATCCTATGCAGTTTATAATAATAGCTTTCAAAAACTAGAATTTTGCCTTATATTTTTAAATTAGCTAAATAAACACAATACCTTAAACAAGAGTAGAAATATATGTACAGTATAACAAAACTGACTTTAAATTTTTATCAGTAAACTAAAATTTATACCAATGTAAAATATTCTGATATTAAGTTGTTGTTTGGATTAAAGTTGATTCAATAATCTACCCTTTTTTCATTATAATAATCTACCTTTTCCCATCATTTCTATATCATTTTTGCTTGTTTGTTTCAGACAGGGCTTCTCTGTATAACTGCCTAGGATGTCCTGGAACTTGCTTTGTAGAGCCGGATGGCCTGGAAACTAACAGAGATCATCCTGCCTCTGCCTCCTGAGTTCTAGGATTAAAGGCCTGTACCACCACACCGAGCTTAAATCATAAAATGGAACCAGATCATTCATGCTGAACTTTGTGTTTGGTGGGAGGGTGAATAGAGAATAATGGGGAAAGATGTGATTAAAAAAAAAAACCTGTGTTTAAATAGATATCAATAGACATTGGCAGATAGTGAAAAAAATCACAAAAAAAATCAGCTAGAAATGATTATTAAATACATTAAGTAAAAGTGAAAATAAATTTTAAAGAAAAAATTTTAAATAAAATCAATGAATGGTACAGATACTTTGCAATCATAGAAAGCAATACTTTGTGAGATAAAATGATTTAAACATCATAATCTAGATAAAATAATCCCACAAACTACTTTTTCTATTATTCTTTCCTCATGAAGCAAACTTGTAGTGATTACTGATTTAGTTCCTTAACAATCCTGATATATTGCCAACTTCTTGGTAAAAAATTATAATTTAGCTCAAAATGAACTTTTTTAAATAAAAAATGTATCTAGCCTTCAAGTCAAACACTTTTACTCCTGTCAATGATAACTCCTTGAAAAAACATATATACCTATGTGTGGGCATATATGTGCGTGTGTGTGTGTGTGTGTGTGTGTGTGTGTGTGTGTGTGTGTATTTATACATATCTACATATACATGTTAAATTTTTAAGAATTTAGTGCCAAGGAACTTTGAAGTTTCTGCCCAAGCATTATATTTATTACCACCTACAAAACCAAATTGTTGGGGTTTTTTTTTTGTTATTGTTGTTGTTTTAATTACAGACAAATACATGGACCTAGGAGGGACATTTCACATTCAAACAACCCAAGGCTACTAGGTACTTTCTGAGTTTTGTTCAGTAGTATTGAATGTGATTATTGGATAGTTTAGCAAGCTTATTTACTTTATCACAGATTCCATATATTGCCTGATTTACATAGTTATTAAGCATATATTTGTTGAAGAAATTATATCAAAGCTAAGCAAATGAGTGCTAGAGAAAGGAATCACGCTGGAGCTGGAGAGATGACTCAGCCATTAAGATCACTTCCTGCTCTTGCACAGGACCTGAGTTCAGTTCCCAGCACCTACATCAGGTGGCTCACAACTGTATGTAACTCCAGGTCCAGCAGATCCAGTGCTCTCTTCTGCCCTCAGCAAGGATACGATGCACATAAACTCAAATAAGCACACACACAAATAAATAAATAAATTTTAAAAAGATGAATTGTAACACAGAAGAAGGAAAACATTCACTGTCTAGCCATTGGGTTTCTTTGAACACAAACTGCTGTGGGATGTTCTGTTTGTCCTGTGGGAGCCCTTCTTGGGTTCCTTGTGGCGTTACCCAGCAGGTCCGTATAGAGGATGATTAGGACCATGGGCCTGAGTGCAGGTGTTTGAGATGGTCTGCACTTGGCTGTGCTGGGGGATGGTCTGTATGTTAAGTTGTTCTGATTGATCAATAAATAAAACCTGATTGGCCATGGCTAGGCAGGAAAGATAGGCGGGACTAACAGAGAGGAGAAACAAAAGGACAGAAAGGCAGAAGGAGACGCTGCAGCCGCCGCCATGACCAGCAGCATGTGAAGACGCCAGTAAGCCACCAGCCACATGGCAAGGTATAGATGTATGGAAATGGATCAATTTAAGATAAAAGCACAGTTAGCAAGATAAGGACAGTTAGCAGGAAGCCTGCCACGGCCATGCAGTTTGTAAGCAAAATAAGTCTCTGTGTTTACTTGGTTGGGTCTGATAGGCTGTGGGACTGGCGGGTGACAGAGATTTGTCCTGACTGTGGGCAAGGCGGAAAACTCTAGCGACAACAAACTATTTTGTTTATCTTGGTATTCCCAGGCTTAAAGTCTTAGTTTCATTCTTGGTGATTGCCTCTCCTCTTGTTTCGTTTTCCCATTAGTAAAACCTAAGTGCTAGGTTGTTAGACACAACGCATACCAAGGAGCAAAACAGCAAAAGGAAGAGCAAAAACAGTGCACAGTGGAGATTTAAAAAGAAAGGAGAAGGGTCCAACACCCAGGTAAACCTTCACAAGTAAGTTAAATAAGAAGTCAAAAGCTCAAGTATGGCTATATGCAAAAGACAGTGCCTCTGCTCAGGAAAACCCAGAATGACATCCGATTTTAAGCAGCCCTGATATGCTTTCTTTGTGGTTGAAACAGTCAGCCTCCCCAGCCCTTCCTCCCCAATCCTGGCCTCTGGTCACCTGCTTTTTTTGTCCCGCCCATTCACATCATGCTTCTTGCATTCAAGGTATTTCTTGAACTTTTGCACATTGCCAACTGAAGCAGCTTTGTGAAGTTTCTTTAAGGGCTTATCTTGAAGGTGATGTCCCCGACTCGTGGACAAGCTGGGATCAGTACTGGCCATGCTCATGGACAGTTCTGAGGATCGGCTGTGGGAATCGTCGGTCTTCCCCTTTACCCAGAAGCTGAAGAGTTTCTTCATGGTGACAAATTCTTTAATTCTATCTGAGGTGTTCCTGGGACTCCTAACCAGTAACCCTGGTCCTCTGTCCTAACCACCTCATTCACAACTGCCTCTCAACCTGACCAAATCCAGAGGTATGTGAGGACAGGAATCTTCGCCTGGCTACATCCGGGGACCAAGGCAGATCTCGGTTACCTAGAAACTGCGCAACGGCTTCCACTGCGCAACGGCAGTCTTGATTGTGATCCGGTTCGACTAGCCAACCCAGATTTTCACATATAACTGCCTTTGGACATATATTGTCTTTGCCAATAGACCCCGAGCCTTGGAGAGAAATTTATTAACTTACAAATAGTCCATTTTCCTTGAAGGATAGATTTAATAGTCTGTATTCTAACCAAGTGAGATTAGGACAGAGGGGATGGATCTCTGCCAGCGATGTTGTTGCCACGTGCATGGTAATGCTTGTCTTAAACAATAACTACCATCCCTGGAAGATCTCAATATTAAACATACTTTGTGAATACGCCTCTCATGTTCCACTCACCTCGTCTAGTCACAAAATTGACAATTGAACTCACCACATATTAGGCCCATTAATCTTATCACTATTTCCTGACCTCAATGACCTTTCACTGTGTCCTCACTATTCTACTAGACTGAACTCCGTGGCCATTCATTAAAATCACTTCCATGTAAATGTCTTCAGGAAATTTGCCTCCATTCCTTAGGTGCCTAAACCAAAGCCCTAGTAAAGCCTAAACTCCTTTGTCTTCCCTGAGACTCTGGTTATGACTAAAGGGTTTTCCAACATCATGCTGTCAGTTTTCATTCTGAGTTCAAGAACATCACCTTAAGTAGACTGTTACTCAGTCCAGCAGCACTTAACTATTTCCCAGGCCCAACTTTTGTCTCATTTCTCTCCACTGTATCTTCTCCCTCCAATGCACCTTGGTTAATGACATTGCTTCCTAATCCTTCGAGAATGACATTAGAGAAATTCTACATGACTCTAATAAATCAACATAATTACCTGCATCTTACTAAAACAAAAACAACAAACATTTTACTATCTTCCTCATATAGATTATATTCCTATCAAAAGCCAGCATCATACTTAGGTATCCTAGACACTGTTGCCTACTCAAAAATATTGCTTGAGTAAAATCTCCCCTGCTTCCCTTATATGTCTTAAAAGTTTCCTTTATTATTCACTAATTCTGACTAGCATAAATGCATGCTGATATACGTCCCATCAAGAAACAAAACACACTGGACATGGTGGTACAACCTGAAACTCCAGCATTTGGAAGAAGGAGACAACAGGGTCAGAAATCTATGGTCATCTTCATTTACACTGGGAATTCAAGGCCAACCTGAGATACATGGAATTCTATCTCAACAAATCACGATTCCCTTTTGCAATCTTGCAACTTTCACTTTTTTTCATAGAACTCCTTAAAAGCATTTTTCATAATCTTATAATGAATGTCTATAAATTTTCCTCCTCTGTGCTCATCTAAACTATCCACACTATGACCTTTTTGCCCTTATCACTCTGTTGACATTGCTTTTAAACAAAATTGATCATTGTCTCCATCAAATCCAATCCAATAGTTACTTGGGTTTTCATAGTAATAGAATAACATTAGACATGGGCAATCATTGTTTACTTAAAAAAATTCTTTTATTTTGGTCTAGTAAGCCATCCCAATGGATAAAATATTTGTCACCAAGCCTGACAATCTAAATTTGATTTGATTCCCAGAATCCACATGGTGTGAGGAAAGAACAGACTATTGAAAGTTGTCCTCTGACAACTTGTGTATGGCATAAACTCTACCCTCTCCCAATAGAGAGACATACTAAATTACCAAAAAATGTCATTTTAAAAAGATAGAACAGTTGCCTAGTTTGAGCTTTACCTTTCTTGTGATTCATCCTCAGATTAATTTGTTGGTTGTTCTTGATCTCCAATACTGAGGAACCCGATAAACAACCATCAACAATGTTTCCATCCTTGAAAGCATTCATAAAACTTTGCACCTATATGTAAACTGAAAATAAATCACACCAAATCTAACACAATATAACCAGAATTTATCTTATTTTTAAACCCTATATTTTTGTTGTATTCATTCAGTCCTGTGACTTAAATATCATTCTCATGCTGTTGAACTACCAAACCGAGTCCTTACAGTTGTTAATCAGATTCCTAGTGCAGTAACTCCAAAACACCCAAAATTTGAACATGACTTCCAATGCAATATGAACTAGTATAGTTTCTCTTATTTGCATTAATATTTCTGAGTAGCATTCTTGCTGGTCTTCATGTTTCTTCCCTTGTTATACTCTGCTCTCTCAGAACTATCGTCAACCCACTGAGTTAAGTGATCCAGGATGTTTCAAGTAATGTCATTTCTCTGCTAAAATCTTTCTAAGAACTTCCCGACTCTTTCATATTAAAGGCTGGCTTTCTTCTAATGACCTGAATGTCCTTGATCCCAGGTTTCCTTTCTACACCTGATCTCAAGCTCTTCAACTTATCAGAATTCAATTGTGACAACCACTTTCGGTGTTTTTCTAAACACACTGTGCATTCTTAGTGTTAGAGATGAGAGCACTTTGTGTCCTCTTTCCAAGATGTTCATCCTGCAGCCAAAAACATCATCTCTGAGCAGAAAGCAACCTTTCTATGCCTCGTTATTATCAGAGAACAGGGCAATCACCCTGGTTCTTGGGTGACCACAGCAAGGTTAGGGATACTTTATTGTCCAAAAAGACAAAGAACCAAACAGAGAACAGAAAGTAAATAAAGTTCTTAATGAAATGTCAGTCTGTGAAGAAGACTATACCTTACAAGAAGTAGATGAACCAAGAAAGGAGCAAAGAACTAATGTCTCTAAGCCCTTGTTGAGGACATAAGATGGATATAAAAACTGTACTCTGCCCATTTTGAGAAATGTTTTTAAAAATTTTTAACATACTGCCTTTTCTATCACAGGGTTAAACAATACAAAACTCCATTTTTAATGAATTAAAATTCATTTTTTTTTGTTTTTTTTTTTTTTTTTTTTTTTTTTTTTTTTTCGAGACAGGGTTTCTCTGTGTAGCTTTGTGCCTTTTCCTGGAACTCACTTGGTAGCCCAGGCTGGCCTCGAACTCACAGAGATCCACCTGCCTCTGCCTCCCGAGTGCTGGGATTAAAGGCATGCGCCACCACCGCCCGGCTAAAATTCATTTTTAATGAATTACTGGCAAGCAGTTTAAGGATAGTGTGTCTTAAAAAAAATAGAAATGAACAAACCTCTGACTACTTCTCATTTCTCCCTTTCCCTAAACACAAAATGTTCCCTGGCACTGTTCTTAAGAAGTGACTGTCTCCTGCTTTTTCCCTCACATTCTTTCTCTACTCCAACTTCTGTAAGACTTCTCTTCCTTCTTCCTGGGAACAGAATCATCTACTCCAAGCAAACTCTCACAACCCAGGTCCTAGCGTTTAAATTTCTATGTGCAACATTCAGAAGCTTTATTGCTTTTGCCTCTGATGAACTGTCCCTCCATCTCTTTTGTTCTCATCTTGTTCTGCTGCCCAAGCTTGGCCTCTTCCCTGTCTCCTCTAAATGCCTCTGAGAAACATTCATAGGGGCAGCTTAAGTAATCAGATTCAAGTAAGGCAATAGATTCCCTAATCCTCAGTTGTTTGCAGAGCTATGGTAAATAAAAACACTAAATTAAAAATTACAAAATAAGCACTCTATAAGTTTTAAATTGCCTATCATCCTGAGTTGTGTGATGAAATCTCTTCAGTTTATCTGTCTCACCTGTCAGTGAATCAGCCATTTGTTCAACATAAACACATTATATACACTATCCACTCACATTACTTAGCACCCACATTTTATTAGAGTTGTGCAGTGCTAGTTCAACACTGTCTAACTAATCTTCATATTACTTAGTAGGGGCCCAAAAGTGCAAGAGTTGCAATGCAGACAATAGTCCCCGTGAATTACAAAGTGTTCCATTTACATGAAAAGGTAAAACAGTACAGTAAAAATTTAAGAATGCAGCACATTGTTGCATCATTAAACAAATATTCTAAAGTATAAACAAATGTAATACATCTTTAAATAGTGATTTACAACACAGGCAAGAGGATTTTTGCAAGCTCAGAGATCAGCATAGACTACAGAACAAGACCTTGTCAACTGTCATCCCCATTAACAGCAAAAACAAAAAGCAAAATGAAGACAGAACAACCTCCATTGCACTGCCCTAAATCGTTTGCTCGTTTTCGGGAGAATTGGTACATGAGGTGAGCTAGGGTCTTTCGTTTACGCCTCCCTCCCAATCTTTCCCCTAATCGTTGTTGACTATCACTTCCTCACCTAGACTTTTGGCTTATCATTTAAGATCCATCCTTCTCACATGATATTCTCTGGGAGGCCACTCCTCTCAGGTTCCTATAAAATGCATTATTTATCTAAAACCATGAAAATATGGATGCTGTGCCAGGTCAGACATGCTGATACTTTTCAGTTTCGGTTTTCAAAGAGAGGGTGTAACTCCCAAAAGCAGACCCCACCCAGTCCAGGGGCATCTTGTCCACTGTGTCAGTGTAAATCCTTAATCCCAGAAGCCCTTCATATTCCCTGAGCCCTGCAAGATGGAAGTTTGAGACAGTAAGATGTCCTTTGCTTTCCTTGGGACAGGGAGGGCTTGAGTATACTGGTGTCCTTCCCCCAACTCTTTTTTTTTCTTCATTTTTCTTTATTAAGAGATTTTCTACTCACTCCACATACCACCCACAAAACCCCCCTCTGCCCTTCTCCAGCCCTCTCTCCCAAGCCACCCTGCATCCCCACATCCCCCAAATCAAGGTCACCCATGGGGAGTCAGCAGAGCCCAGCACACTGAGCCTAGGCAGGTCCAAGCCCCTTCCCACTACACCAAGACTGTGCAAGATGTCACACCACAGGCACTAGATTCCCTGAAGCCTGCCCATGCACCAGGGACAGATCCTGATCCCCCTGACTGGGTGCCCCTGAAACAGTTTGTGCCAAACAACCGTCTTCCGTATCCAGAAGGCCTAGACCAGTCCCATGGGGGCTCCACAGCCACAAGTCCACAGCTCATGGGTTTCCACTAGTGTGGCCAGTCATCTCTGCACGTCTTCCCATCATGATCTTGACATCCCTCGCCTGCAGTATCTCCCTCCTCTCTCTCATCAGTTGGATTCCCGGAGCTCAGCCTGGTGCCTGGCTATGGATCTCGGCATCTG